AGCCTAGGTCTGCTGGAGGTCTCAGCTTGATGTCCCCATGCCCCTTGGTGTCTGGGTGCAGTCAGCTGACCGGTTGTCTTTCTAGGTGGCACTTTGAACAAGGCTCAATTGATGGCCTGGTAGGGCACGCACTAGCCTGCATGGCTTCCCCCTCCCCGCTCTCCGCCCCCCCCCCCTCCCCCGCACTTAAAACAGGGACCCAGTGTCTTTCGGGAGCCAGCCGGGCAGCGTGTGCCAGCACTTGGCAATTCTGTTCTCGGGCTTTTTTCATCTCTCCCCTGGTATACCTTAAATGCCACAGCTGAAACTTTTGCCTGTGGGGTCAGGAGCCTTGCTCTCCAGATGCTTAAGTTTTAGCCCTTTTTTCAGAGAGGTCTGGGAGACAAGAGACGGCTTTTATTCCATATCTCGAATTTTTTTTCGATGTCTGTTGGCTTGAGGACAGCTTTAGGAAGACCCGCCAAGAGGCAGGGTGTAAACTGATCTCTGACTAAAGAGCCATCCTGATTATTGTGATCCCCATGTGGGTCCTGATGGTAAACTTGTTTTCATGCATCCTAGCCTGCTTTTAGACCTGTCTGTTCTTCTCACTGCAGCCTGAGAATGAGTGGGAGGAGTTAAGGTGAGTTAAGGTGAGAGCCAGGGTTGGGCAGAAGTGGCCCATCTGATACTGTAGAGCCTGCTCAATTAGAGAGGGCAGAGAGCGGAGCATGGAGCACAGATCGAAGAACAGATAAGATAAGGTTCTTTGACAGGGCAAGGACCGAGGAGTGGTTTTTAGGATACAGTTCTACTAGAAACACGAGACCAGAAATAACTGAAAATATTCCAGACACAAATGCACGACCAAGACTCCAAGTATGCTTTGTGTTGTAGGATATAAAACTAGCCCCCTCTACGGAATGTTATGGTGACCCCCGAGACAGTCACAGCCTCTCCTGATTCAGTATCCTGCTCTTTTCTGGTTGTACCAAAAAATAAACAACCAGCAAGTGATTTAACCCTGTCAGAACTGTCTCTGGTCATGGCAGTCCATTTTCCTAACAATTGTGATAATGTGCTGTGAAAGATTGAAATTTTGAATATGTACTGTATGTGGCATAAAATTGTGAGTCAGTGGAATTAAGGATTGTGGGCATTTGATTGTTATGTGAGGTCTTAGGGAAAACTTGCCAAGCGTAGGATGGAACATCATTGGAATAAGTTCAAAGAGAAACAACACTTGGCTGTCCTGGGTACGTGAACACAATGTCTGACTCTTAGAGTTTGGGTCCATGTTTTAAGAATTGAAATGTCTGTGTACTCAACCAATAAAGTCTCAGTTGTGAAAGAGAAAAAAAAAAAGATAAGGTTCTTTGAAGTCAGAGATTCCTTAGGTTTAGGAATGCACGTGGTCAGGAGAAAGAGAGAGATTCAGAAAGTGAGAGGGGCTTCAGAACTTGGGTAAAAGCATGGGGATAAGGTAACTCTTCATTTGCCTGTTTGCTGGCAGAAGTTAGATAATTCCCGTGAAATATTGGGGTTCAAGCAGCCAAATTTAATGGTATCTGGGGATATTTAGGAAGTCCCTATGTCCCATGGCTGCAGCGCAGAGAAAGAAAAAAAAATAAAATAAAGAAATGGGATCAGTCTCCAGTCCCGGGCGTCCCCGAGAAGGATCTATGAATCAGCACAGGTTACTCCCCACTTCATCAAGAGAGGAGTAAGGGCTGGGAGCATACGCCGCACAAGGACCCCCGGGGGTCCGACAGAATTGACCTCTTTGTCAAGACAGAGAATGAGTTGGTTACTGTGCAGTCCGAGGACCCCCTGCGGGTCTGGTGCAAGAAATATAGCTCAGGGCTGGGCGGTGGTGGTGCACGCCTTTAATCCCAGCACTCGGGAGGCAGAGCCAGGCGGATCTCTGTGAGTTTGAGGCCAGCCTGGGCTACCAAGTGAGTTCCAGGAAAGGCGCAAAGCTACACAGAGAAACCCTGTCTCAAAAAAAACCGAAAAAAAAAAGAAAAAAAAAAAAAGAAATATAGCTCAGGCTGCAGTTGCGGGAAACGGTGGGGGTCGGAAAGGGGAAAAAACTCACCAATCTGGTTGGTGGGTATGGTATGTGGGTGTGGGTCCGGTGGCTGAGCAAATGAAAAAGTGGAGTGGGCAGTTGCAGGCCCTTGGTATAGGTTTCCGACAAGGCTCAGCCCTGGATGCAGAGCGGGCTGAATGTCCTATCCAAGTACACAGCACCAATAAAAGAGTGATAAGCGGCACTGGTTATGGTGCTGGTTACTGGCAGAAATACCCAGTATCAGTATTCAGAGCTTTATTAGGAGGAAAGTGGGGAGGAGAGGAGAGAGGAAAGTCAGGCCTGGAGAGGAAAGAGAGAGAAAGATGGTGGGGTCAGGGGAGAGGGAGCAGAGCAGAGCAGAGAGGGTGGGGTCTGCATCCAGCTTTTAAGGGCCCCCGGTATGGAGCTACACCATGCATGCACTGATTGTGTGACCATGGTAGTCGCCAGCTCACACTGATGATGTAAGACACAAGACCTTTTGCTTAACTCCTGGACTATGCATGTGTGGTCACACAGCCAGAGTAAGGGCAGAATTCTAACATCTTGGGCTAACACAAGGTTACTCACAGTTCTCCTATCCTGTTCTTGTCCCCACTGAGACAACTTCTAGTTCAATGCCTTTCAACACGTTTTTCTGCCTGCTCTAGTCCTTTGATATCTGACACAGGCTAATTTTTTAGAGTGAGAGTTTGTTGCTTATGGTTTTGAAGGCTGGGATATTCAAGGTAAGGTTCCAGAAGGTTTCATGTCCGAAAGGGCGGTTCTCTGCTTCAAGAGGGTAGGTAGTGGATGCTATGCCCTTATACATTTGCAGAAGTACTGAAGAGAACAAATCCATTCCACCAAGCCTTTCTGTATGGTTGCTAATCCCTTTGAGACACTGGTAATCTTTACTGTCATGCTGTTAGTAGCAGACACAAATGTCAGTTGACAAACTCAAGTGTGCCAGAAATGTGACTCTGTTGTTCCTAGAATCTAATGTCTAGTTTTAGTCTTAATTTGCTCAGATGACAGACTCTTCAGCAGTGTTGGAAATCCCTGTTCCTCCTTTGTTCTAAGGGAGTTAAAGAGTCTGGAGGAGTAATGAAGAGTTCCTGGCGTCACCAGCTCACACCAACACCCACGGTGATCTACATGGTACTGCAGAGGGGTTCTGGGGCCCCTCCACACGGTTTCTTCAGGTCTGCAGGGGCTCCATGACTTCTCTGCCTCTCTTGGTGATGAGCTGCTGATTGTCCCAGGCTGTGACACGGCATAGCAGCTCTCTAAGGCTATCTGAGACCCCACTTACCCAGGTGCTGTTCTTAAGTGGGTTCTGACTGTCTTTCTAGGGCTCTGCTTAGCTCTGGGTTCCCACAATTCTATCTGAGAATCCTGCTGTCTCTTTTGGGCTCAATTTTTGGGTAAAGAGCATGGATTCTCTCTCTGAGATTCACTGACATCATTGTAAACTACTTGTCCTTCATCTCCTGATTTTTCCCTAGGCTGGGGATTCTTTTCTAACATAGCCAGGAGGGCCAGTCTTATTCTTTCTTCCTGCCCAAGCTGTGAATGTCTTCCCTTTCTCTATGGGTCTGAGTTTCTGAAACTTATGACTAGAAAGAGAGACCCTCTCCTTTCTACATTTGATAGTCATCAAATTTTGTCTTCAGGAGTGGAGAACAATAACCTTCTTTTTCTTGTTTTGACAAGATCTCATTATGTACCCCTGGCTGGTCTAGGACTCAGTTTATAGACCAGTATTGCCTTAAACCCACAGAGACCCACCTGTCTCTGCCTCCCAAGTGCCACCATGGCTGACTTTAACCTTGCTATTTTACGGGGAAGGAAGATCAGGAGCTTGGGAGAGTGGCTTGGGAGAAGCAAACAGTGATGTACTTAATAAGACACTTGCAGTATTTGATGAATCTGGTGGTGATAATGATGACACAGTAATGATATCATTAACATCTGTTGAGTACATAGTGTGTGCCGGGTCTGATCCCAAGTGCCCTCTTTTCCTGACATCTCCATCAACTGTCCCAGTAACTGTGCGTTTTGTATTAGTCTCAATAATCCCCCAGAACTGCGGAAATCTAGAAGGGTGAAGGGACGAATGGTTCCCACCACATGCAAATGATGGGGCTGGACTTCATGCACTAGCCTACTCCCAGTGTCTGTGCTCAACCAACACACCTCTCAGACTTGTGGTAGCATCCCTCGAGCCTCTGCCCCTCAGGCCATGGACACAGGGAGTCATTCTATTTCTCTATCATACTTCAAAAGCGTCCCCTGCCTCACCTGCACAGGTGAGCTGCCATGGTGTGCCCAGCATCAGCCTCAGAGCCTGGTCACTCTCTGTGTTTCTGTTCTGTCCTCTCACCGCCCCCGCCTCGCCCTGCACACGCTTCCAAACGCTCTTTGTCTCCTGCTCTTGGCTTAGCCTTAAAAATAACATACGTTCAGCCGAGAGCTCAGCCCACAAAAGGGAAGAAGGAGCAGGAGCAAAGAGCAGGCAGAGTGCTATTTGGGTAGACTGGGCTCTGCAAAAAGGGGAAGAGACCTGGGATCCTACAGTCTGCGTCCTTGAGGGTGTCCAGGCTGCCCTTCCTGGCCACTGTGATTAGACTGAGGCTAGGCCTTCCAGGCTCTTCTTCAAGTAGGCAGAGCATCTTCTATTAAGTAAAGTGCCCATGACTTCAGGAATCTCCCCAGTCCTGAAGTATCTGTTGCTAGAGGGGAGCTGTGCCTTTGGATTAACATGCTGAAGATACCACATGAATGCAGTTTCAAAATTCAGGTGTCAGACATTCCCACGACAGCATAGTAGGACTGACCGAGCCAGTTTAGCGTGGCAGGCTTCTGGAGGGCTGTGGTGGGTGGTGGTGGGAGGAAGAGAAGGGGAGTTGTAAGGTGGTGCAGGGCTTTGGTACGGTGGATGTGAGGACTCATGGCTTCTCTGCAGGTGAGGACTCCATCAGCACACTGGGCATGATCCTTGGAGTGGGACTGTCACTGCTGCTTGTGTCCATCCTCGGCTACAGCTTAGCCAAGTGGTACCAGCGCGGGTACTGCTGGGACGGTGAGTGAGCCCCATGCCCACCAGCCCCAAACTCTGCTCTGCCCTTCCTCATCAGTAGAGCTGGCAAGGCTGGGCGGGGTGGCAAGCCTTTCAGCCCAGCGGGATGCAAAAACATTTCCTCTGGTGGTTGCAGGGGTTGAAGATTTGAGTGGATGGCTGAGCAGTGGAAGCGCACACAGGGGTGGGGGGGTAGGGGGTGGGGTGGGGGTGGAGGTGGGGGGTGTGCTCAGATGGGGAGGTGGGGGGTGGGGTTCAGATGGGGAGGTGGGGCCTTTATTGAGGGAATGGAGGCTCCTCCCACTTGAAGAAGTAGGCAGCTTCTATTTTTTTTTTTAAACTCCCCAAGACCAAGAGCAATGCCTAGAAGGCCAGGGCGGCAGGCTGTCTCCTTAGGTGTCAGTCTGTCTGTGGGTCTGCTCGTGTGTCCTGCACACACCCCCAAACCCTTGATGTGCCTTCTGGAATTTACTGTGGTCTTTTCAACTGGGGAAGCCAGGAGAGCATGCTGGGACACTGACAGAGGAAACTTCCCAGGGGTGCATTTACAAGGATGTATTGAGCATCTACCGTGTACCAATGTACTTTTCCTCGGCATGTGTTTTCAAAATTCCACACAATGAAGAAGTTATTATATTTTTTGCTCTGTTTTTATACATGGCCTTGATATGGATACAAGGCTGACCTCAAACTCTCCATCTCTCTGCCTCAGCCTAGTGAGTTCTGGGAATATAGCCAAGCGTCCTCATGTTCAGCTACAGCCTACTTTATTTTTTTTTGAGACAGCCTCTAGCCCAGGCTGGCCTTGAATTATCTATGCAGCTAAGGAGACCTTGAACTTCTGATCTTCTTGCCTCCACCTCTCAAGTGCTAGGATTACAACTGCACACTACCACACCTAGTTTATGCTGTGTTTGGGAAGGAACCCAGGGCTTCGCACATGCTAGATAAGTACTCTACCAACTGAGTGGCGTCTTCATCCCTCAGCTTCCATTATTGAAGTAGACGGGTATGTGGTAAAAATCATAGGGTTGGAACATAAAGCTGGAGTGAAGCCTAGGTCTGGTTCTTTGCGGGGGGCTCTGTGCTAGAAATGCTTCCTTCCTAGGGTGATCAGGGCTCCTGTTGGAAGGACCCTGAAGGGTCTTGAGAACCCCACACTACAGCCCAAGGTCAGCCTGTTTACACTATGGGCAGGTGAGGGAAGCACCACATGTTCCCAGAGAGATGATAGTCACCTCCCTTGGAGATCTTCACTCTTGTTTCTGGTTGTCTTCCCAGGGCCTAATTTTGTCTTCAACTTATACCAGATCCGGTGAGTAGATCCAAGACAGATCTGGGTGGGCTGGCATTGGGGGCTGAATATAATGAAAAAGGAATTAGAGACAGAAATGGAACTTATTTGCTTCCCTTTCCTGGCTTTCTCCATGCTTCCTAAGCAAACCAGAAATACTCCATTTAAGAAAGTTCTCAGAGTAAAACATGCCTATAAAGAGCACCATGGGAGGCCCTGATGACTGTAGTCATCTTAGTATTCACTCTCAGGCAGAGAACATGTCACCCAGGTATCCGTCCATCTACCCACTCCTCCACTCATGTACAAACTTGCCTACTCATTCATCCATCCATCCATCCATCCATCCATCCATCCATCCATCCATCCATCCCATAGCACCCACCAATCATCTATCCATCCATCAACCCACCCACCCACCCACTTATTCATCAATCTACCCATCCACCCATCCCACTACTCACCAACTCGTCTATGCACCACCCATCTGCTCTACTCATCTACCCATTAACCCCCATTACTCATCCATGAGTCCATATATTCATCCATGTACTCATCCACTCATAGATGCACATACACATCCATGCACTCATCCATGCATGCATGTATCATCCTTCTATTCACCTATACACTCTTCATCTATCCATCCATCCATCCACTCACTTACCTGTCCACCTATTCACTATTTTTAAGGAAAGTTTTCTTATAGCCAGTTTTATGGTATTTATTTCTAAGAACACAAAGATGGCTTGGCATATTCTCTGTCCCTAAGTGTCTCACTGTCAATGCTGGAGACAAGTCTGATTGCAAATAATACAACCTTGGGCACAGTGTAGGATTCAAAAAAAGAAGCGCAATCAAAGAAAGTCATGGATTTGAGGAACAGAAGTCAGGAAGACCTCTCGGGGTACATCGTCTCACTATTTCCTGCCACTGGGGAGACCTGCTTCTCCTCTGTCCCTGAGAGATGAGATGAATCTTCTTCTGGAAGATAAGTCAGTGAGTCAGTGACCTAGAGATTGTCCCTATTTCTAGGAACCACTTTGTAGGTTCTAGTTTAGGGAGACAGGCCCCAGGGAGAGGCTGGGTTCTCAGTTTCAACGGCTTTATTGGAAATCTGTCTCAGGAACCTGAAGGACTTGGAAGTGGGGCCACCCTTCACCATCAGTGGCCACATGAGCAGTCCTGATGGCGGCTACATGAAGTTCTCCAATGAAAGAGTCTGATGGAGATGCATCTAGCCTCTGGAGTTCAGGAGAGGTGAGTAGGAAAACTCCTGAGTGGGTCTGATGTCTGAGTAAGGTCTTATGAGGGCCCAGGTTGTCAAGCCTAGCACCAAGGATCACTCACAACACAAATACATTACTCAATCCTTCTGCTCTTTCTTGGGAGAGTCAGGCAAGATTGATGGCATAGCAAAGCCCTTCCCAAGCCATTTTCTCTTTTTAGCATCTCTTTATACAGGGAAAAGACTCCTGGGTCATCATGAGCTCCTTCAGCCTTCCTGGACCCTGAAAGCCTGGCCTGGCCCTGAGTATGGAGAATGAGGAGCCTTCTCTGGGTCCTCTTCTAGCTCTCATAGAGTTGGACCTCTGTGGATGGGCCTGACCAGCCTTAGCAGTTTTCTTATGGGACTCGGAGAAGCAACCATTCCCTGGGGTTAGAAATGTATTCCAGGAGAGAAAGTCTCAGGAAGCATAGCCAGGCCAGCCCGCTCCTGTCTCACACAGCCCAGAGTGGAAAGGGCCCCCGACTCCACAGGGTAGGTTGTCATGTGGAATCTCCTGCCATTTCATTTTGTAAAGTTCATAGCAGGGGCTGGAGAGCCGGTCATCTTCATCTGGGAGTTACGTGGTTAGAGTGGTGATTTCAGACATGGTTTTTAACCTTTCCACCAGTGGCCAGCTTCCTTGAGGGCTGAACTTGGGTCTTTACCTTGTCCTTTCCACCTCCGTGTTTGGTTTGGCCATTTTCCACCCTTCCCCATGGGTGCTGGCGCCCTCTGACCAGTTCTCCTTTTAGTGACAGGCCTCAGTGCCCACCATATATGACCACAACAATTAGAAACCACGTCCCTGTTTAAGCTCCTGAACTGGGGCGGGCACGGGGCACAGGGTGGGTTCTATCCCCTAGTCTCCGCTGTCCCATGCAAGGCCCTCCCCACGTGGCAGAAAGCAGCTGGAGGCGTGGAGCAGTGGGGGAGCCCCTGGTGGAGCAGTGGGGAGCCCCTGGCTGAGGCTGAACAAAGCAGCTAAGGACAAGGACTGTAGAACACGTTACCTCCCTCTACCTCATCACTTCTTCCTCTGCATGTGACCTACTGGATGGAGGCGGAGCTGGTACTAAGAGATGTAGCTCAGTGGGTATTTGGTATAAAGTGGTTCCATCCAGAGAGGCTGAATTCCTGGATCAGCTATGGCTGGAGGAAGGCATAAGAGGCCTGGGCTGTTCAAGGCAGCCACTGCATCAACCAGCCCCAAGCTCAAGGCTGAAGGATGCTGAGGCCAGAGCAGAGACAGGAAGGGGAGGGCTGGCTGTTATTTGCTCTCCTTATCCTCACTGTTGCTGAGGCCCCTGTGCTTTTTTGTGTTTTTGTTTTTCTTCTCTCTCACTGGCCTACAGCAGACTGCAGAGGAAGGAATGAGCCAGACCTAGTAGGTTCTTCCTGCTTCCTGCCAGGGCTGGGGGCCCTTTTATTCCCGGCTCAGATAGGCTTGAACACCAAAGCCTATGGAGAGAGACCCTTCATGGCTTTGGATCCTCTCCCTTCCTCAAAGAACTCCTGTGAGAGATGCAGAGAGGGGAGCCTGTTGCCTTTGGCTTCCTTCTTCCTTGGATACCAGCTCTGCAGGCTGGACCCTGCTTTTGAACTCACAGGTTATGCAGCCCCAATAACACTTTCAACTCTGCCATGGTCAGCATGGTCTGTGGGGTCTATCAGGTCCCTTGGAAGTGCCTGGGACTCAGCAAACCTTTTGGGAACTTGAAAGGAGGGTGAGACTAGAGCCCCAGGTAGTCCTGGGCCAGGCTGGTGGCTTCAGGTGAGGACAAGGACATCTGCTGAGGACTGGGAGAACAGCGGGTATTTCCCATGCCCAGAAGCAGAAGCGAGAGAGAATTGCTTCCTCTTTCTGAGCCCGCTGACGTGCTCTGTGTTCCCTTTATGCCCCCCCCAACTTGTTTTCCTTACTTCCGCTGGCCCATGGTATAGCAGTTTTCTTGGCCCTGGATGGTGGCTCCACCCTAGGAGTCCTCTGTTGAAGGCTGTGAAGGGGCAGATTCTAGCTTTCTCAGAAATGGACTAGACACCAAGCAGCAGGTCTGTGAGGCTGGACACTGATTGGACACTCAGATCCTTCCCCATGCCAGGGCCTCCCCAGTCCTCCTCCCTGCTCCCTTTTCCTTCTTGACCCCACTGGAGAGCCTGCTGTGCTGAGGGCTACAGGCTGCAGTTTCTCTGTTGCCCTGCTCCTCTTTAGTGTCTTTTCCAGGACTGTGCTCAGCCTAGAATGTCCTCTTCTCCTGCACCCCAACCCTCCAGACTTTGTGGACCTCAACTCCTGTCTTTCCTGAGACTCACCTCAGGACTCAAAACTAGACACCATTCATTTGGGATTCTATTGTAGATGGCCAGGTTTCCTCCCATGTCCTGTTTCCCAACCCTTTGTGGCCAGGAGTCTCTAGCAACCCTTCAAATGAAGGACAGTACACAAGTTTACTATGGATTAGAATTGACTGGAGAAGAAACAGAGGGCAGCCTCATTCTGGAAAAGAATGCCTAGCCGCCTGAGGAGAACTGGTCAGCTTACACATTTTCATGCATGCTTCTGCATTTTGAGCCTTGTGACCACCCTGTGACACAGAGATTATTGTTGTCCCATTTTACACATAGGAAGACTGAGGGAGTCAGAGAGGTAGCATGCTTTGTCCAGGACTGTCCAGCATTTACCAGCTATACTGGAGCCTGAGCGGAATCTGTGGCCTCAGGGACATAGTCTCACCTCAGGGCTTATCAGGGTAAAGACTGGTCATTATATAAAAGGATATAGTTCTCATTCTGTCCCATGGTGCTGTGTGGCCATCACGCTGGTCATGCCGTTTATTTGACATCTATTTCAGCATTGGGAAAGCAAAAGACAAGATTATTTCTTGAAGGTTCCTCTTGACTCATACCTTGTCTATCAGAAAATAACTAATCTCTTATATCAGTGGCCTGGGCACACTCCAGCTGTTCCGTAAATAGTTAAAAGATGTAAGCATGATATGAAGTGTCAACTCCGATTTAGGAGCTGGCTGTTAAAAGGTGGCTGCTGAGGTCCCCTAGATGCCAGGAGTCTGGGACTCTAACTACTATTCAGTTTTTTTTTCACATCTTGCAGAGATCCAGCGGGGACTGAAAACTGGACCACTCCTAAACTAGTCAGTATCGAAAGGGCAAATCTCACATTTGTTGGACACAGACTGAGCAGGGCAGGGGCTTCAGGTACCCAGTCTCACTTTAGCTTCACAGGTAGGGAAACAGAGGCTGGGGAAATAGACACTCAGGTGGAGTGAGAATTTACCGTCCTTAAATCCTGGGTTGCTGGCTTGGATCATCAGGCCAAGTGGCAGTTATTCTCTGATGTCTAGCTTCCAAGAAACTGGCTTCTCCCTCCAGTGAGATACTAACCCTTCACAATGATGGGTGGGCCTTTCAGGGTTCAGGCCTGCTTGTCTTGATCTCAGCTCTGAGCTTCTAACTCACCTACTTCCTGGTCGGTCTTTTACTTTTTATTCTCTCTTTGATTTCCAAATTGCCACATCCTGGCTTACGTATAACATCGCCAAGGAGCCTTCTTTAAGACTCATGTGTCTTGTTCTCTTCTGATTTGTACTTATAAATACTCTCTGGCTCTTTTAAGTTCATGATTTCAATGCATTCATTCATTCATTCATTCATTCACTCATTCATTCATTCAGTTTCTCTACTCCTCCAGGTACTAGGCTGGCCCTATGGGGAATCTAGTCTCTCTGGAGATTAACCTGATCTCTCCCACTTCACAAGCACTCCCTGAAGGCAGAGTTAGGCTTTACATCTCTTCCAGTCCCCTGTTGTGCCTTGTGTGCTTTTGGTCACAGGCAGGAACTTCTTAGGAAACAGGTGAAAGGGTTCCTCAGTCTCTTGGGGGCATCTTGCACATTGCCCCAAGCCTGGTCCATGCCTGGTGCTCTTAACACTCACACTGGTCATGTCTTCTCCTTCCCTGTCCTCAACCACATCCCACGCTGTGTGTGTGATCACATGCCTTTCTAGAGAATGGCGCACACAGATGGAGAGCTTTTCTACCAAGGGACAACCTCAGGGATGCTCAAAGCCATAGCATCTCCTTCGAGTCTGCATGGCCTTGCTCCAAGCCAGTGTCAGTAGGTAGGTTCAGGTGACAGGACCAAGAAGACCACAATCTATGGTGCTCCTTTCAATGCTCCAGGGGTTTGAGAAGGTCAAAACAGAAGCAGATGGAAGTATCATTTTATTTTTAAAAACTGCTTAGTGAGCAAAACCCAGCTAGAAGTGGCAATGTTTGAGCAAAAGCTGATACAAAACAGGAAGCCAGTGGCCTGGTGAATTCTCACACTTGGGGACCAGAAGTGAAAATGTTCTGTCTGCCCAGAGGAACAACAAACCCACAAAACAATAAGTGGGGCTGTGCTGGAGGCCATAGTGGACCCCGCCCTTCCCGCCCTCCAATACATCCCTACCCTCCCTTCTGCAGAGTCCTGGGCTTGGCTTCCCCTCCTCAAAGCCTTGGGTAGGATTTCTCATGCACAAGCAGAGGACTGCTGGGAGAAAGGTGGGTGAAAAATGGAAGAAGTCTCTCATCTTCTAGTCTAAGCCCAGTCCTTCTCCTTATAGACTGTGGGCTGAGATCCTCTGGGTCCCAGGGACCTTGTTTATGTAAGGTTGCCATTGGAAACTTTGAGGCTTCTTCCAGCTGTGAGACCATTTCCCAGTGGGTAACTTCATTTCCACCATGCTGGGGTGAGGGTGGGGGAGAGGTGAATGGACACTGTGTGTGTGCATACACATACATACAGAATTGAGCCAGCCAGGAGGATCATGCCTAGTGGCTTGTCACAGTCTCAGGAGGTTTGACATGCTGGGTACCCAATGAATGTTTGCCCCCAAGGGTGGATGAATGCATGAGGAATGTTTTCAGGCCCCTTTGCCTTGTCTCCTGGATGTATTCTCTTGCCTTATGTCTCCTGTTTGGTCTGCAGCCCTGTCCTACAGCACATAGGAACTGTAGGGTGAAGAAAGAGGGAAGGGAATGATGATAGAATCATGTGACTAAGAGGAAAGGATGGCCAACCTGCAGTCAAGCTTTCACTCAGAGTTACCTCTAGGTCTCTCTCTCCCTTCTAGGTCCAGGCTAATGTCTCCCAAGCACCTGCTTTGCTCAGTCTTCCATGACCTTCATAATCATCTCGATGCTTCCTGAACTGCTTTCACCTGCATTCAAACGCTTCTTTGACATGAATGGAAAAGTTCTACTCATTCATGCGTTCATTACGTTTGTTGAGTGCTTATTACTATGCACTGCCATTGACTGGGTGTAGAGGGCACAGACTTCAATCAAGAGGAGTTCCTGCTGTCAATGAGCTGGAAGGAGTGTTGGCTAAAGGACCTTCCGTGGAAGCAGTATACCCAGAGAACTAATGACATGGTCAGCTTCAACACTGTCTCCAACTGACAGATCAGAAGACTCAGGTCCAGACAGACTCATTTGCAAAGAACAGATCATGCCTAGAACCCAGAGAAGCAGTCTTTCCAGTCCCTGGGCATGCCCCTGGGGCCTCTCCATCCCAATAGCCTTGCTGTGGTAGTTGATTAGTCTTAGTGGACCTTGCTGTGGTAGTTGGTTAGCCTGAATGAACAGATACCATGCGCTCACCCTGCCTCCCCACGCTCCACCCTGTACCAGGGTATACAGCACTGGCTCTATTACCTATGCTGACTCTTTGCTAGGTTTGAATCCTGGGTTCAGATCTTCTATGGCCTGTCACAGACTCCATGTCTGAGCCTTCCCACCTCCACTTAGCATAGTTAATATATCACACACTTCACTTCTTTCCAATGAGTCCAGCAGGAGTGTACCTAGCACCTACAATGTGTTTCACACCATTGCAGGGGCAGAGGGCACCCAGAGCGATACTTCACACTTCCCATTTCATTTTCACAGGACGGCCACCTAGTGACGAGTCCTATGTTGGAAGCACATGCAGGGTCTGAGTGGCCACAGGTGGGGGGCTTTGCCGAGGACACGTGGGTGGCCTTGAAACAGCAAGGTGGAAGAAGAGCCTTTGGGGATGAGGAGCAGTGAGGATGTGAAAGGGACGAAATGAGAAGGGGCAGGAGCCAGGGTGGGGGTTTTGGAGAACCTTCTGAGCAGAGACTTTGAGTGTTGTCTTACAAGTTGTCCGTAGAATTCAAAGCTCGAATTTGCATTTCAGCCCTTCGGCTCAGTCAACAGTAGGGAAGATTATTCAGTGGTGAGGGATGCTGAGGGCAGATGAGAAATGGTAGAGACAATGGAAATTAAGGAGAAAATGCTGGCCCTGACTTGGAGACATGAAGGGGTGAGCCACTTCACCCCTCCAAAGGCACCGGAGAAATGAATGTGGATTGGCAGTTGTGGAAGCAGGAGTTGTTGGGGCCCTCCACGAGTGCATTTTTGGGGGAAGTTGGGCCATGGGTTAAAGAAAGGAGCTGGTGTGTTGAGGAGTGGTAAGTTCCGGCAGAGGCTGCAGGGCTTCAGAATGCTGCTCACGCGTGCATCATGAATATTATGTATAGAGTGTAGCAGTCTATAAATGGGACTGCTCTTCTAAAGAGCTGATTATGAAGGGAAGGAAGGAAGGAAGGAAGGGGTACTGTGTCTAACCTTCCCTGCCCATGTCCACTCCAGAGTCCGTGACTCTGCAAGTGGGGTAATTCACTGAAGGGAACACTTCGCTGTTACATCACCCCCTGGTTTGGGGCTGTGGCTGTCTGAAGATCCCTGAGGCTCCTGGCTGGGGTCTGCAGTGCACATGCCCAGCTCAGGCATGGTTCTGGACACTCTAGGCCAATAGGATGGCTGCCTTCTCCTCCTAGAGATAATGAGTCTGGTGAATATCCCGAGTTTACGGGCTGTAGATGGCCAGGAACCCTCTCCAGACCTGTCTTCTCATCTCTATGCCATGATGACAAATCCACCCACGATGTAAGTCTCACAGAGAACACAGAGCACTTGCCTCAAAATCCCCAGCCCCGAGCCCTAACCCAGTACCACTCCCATCCCGAGAGCTACTTAAATATCTTTCCTCTGCATGAAATACCACCATTGAGCCAAAGCTCAGCTTCTCCCGGGTCCCCAACACCTCCACCCCGCCACACCATGTTTTCCCTTCCATACCCATGTCATGCACTGCTCTCCATCAGGTTCAAGTGGCAGTTAACGCTTGACCCTTTCATTGTCCCCAGCCTGCGGTCCTGTCTTTCTTTGAAGTGTCCTTTGAATTGGTTCATTCTTCTCTAGTCCCATTGCCCTTGCTCAATGTATGCGTACAAGCATCTCTATGGACTGAAGGTTGGTGCCCCTCACCCCCACCCCTCAGTGTTGAAGTTCTAACCCCTAATATGATGGTGGGCCTTTTGGAGGCTATTGGATGAGGTCATGGGGATGAAGCCTCATGATGGGATTAGAGTCTTCATACAAGGAAGAGACCAGAGATAACTCTCCATTATGGGTGGTGTAGCTCCAAGTTACCTATAAACAAGGAAGAGGCCACCCGTGGGAGCTGGATGAGCTAGAACTGTGATCCTTGACTTCCCAGCCATCCGCAAGCTTCTGGTTAAAGCCCCGCCCCTGGCTGTGTGCTCCTACAGCCAGAGGGAAGGCAGCTTCCTACCCTGCTTATCTACTTCCTGCCTCATTCCTAGTGCAGGATACTAGTTTCTTTCACGGCACTTATTAACACTTGTTAATACTCAATTGCTTGATCTTTATAACCAGACATGAAGTCTTTATCACCATGAAGCCAAGGCTGAATATCACATCTGGCATGTGGTAGGTAACCGCTGAAGAAATGAAATGCTGGGCTGGCGAGGTGGGTCAATGGGTAAAGGCCCTTGCTGCCAGGCCTGATCATTTGAGTTCCAGCTCTGGAATCCATATGGTAGAAGGAAAGACCAACACAGCAGGTTGTCCTCTGACTTCCACATACATCACACACACACACACACACACACACACACACACACACACACACACACACACACACACACACACACAGCAACAACAACAAAAATCAGAAAAAAAAACCAAATTAAATGGCTGGCTTCAATAAAGGTCTCCCTGTTTTCTGCCCAGTTCCTTTTGTTGAATGACTTATGCCTTGGCCAGAGTCACCTTTTAAAAACCTGAATTGTTATCATCCTACCCAGTCCTTCCTCGTCAGTGTTTACAGAGTCCCAGCACCCTGTTTGGAGATTTACGGGAAATCCAGTGAACTTGAAATCACTCTGACAATGAGAGGCACCATGGGCCTTCTCATTAATAGCAATACACTTAATTTTAAGTTGTGGGTTTGTTTCAAAAGAAACCCTCAAACCCATGAGCACTGCAGGAAACGAGTGAGTCAGCCTTCTCAGTATCTGGTGTCCTATCAGTGGGGGTGATAGCATCGGAACTCGGCTGCCTGGACATGCCCATCAAGGTTTCTGTGTATCCCCGGACAGACAACAGCCCAGGTTCTCTCCCTTCACATGAGGGGCTCTGAGAATTTTCACCCTGTGAATCAGGTGTTATGTGGGCTCTGTGGGTGGTATCTAGCCTCTGGGGGTGCTGAGTGTTGTGTAGGTGCAGGGTAGGCTCTGTGTGTGTGGCCTGACCTCTCAGAGGGCTGCATGTTCTGCTGCTGTGTGTATGGGGTGGGCATAGAGGTATGGGGGGTGGTGCGTAAGGCAATCTCTCGACTATAGTTATTTACACATTTGGGAAAACACAGTTGACAGAATTTCCTCCTGACAGTGGGAGCCCATTTCCCCTCTCTCTTCGCTAAGAGGAAGTTCCATTAGCTCACAGAAACCCAGAACCACACATTCCTCAGTCTGGAAAAGCCCTTGAAGGAGGTGCTCAGCTGAAGACCAACTGTGGCCTTCTGTTGGGGACTTTAATCTGAATTCCAGAGAAGCCAGAATGAAGTATTCTACCAGCTGCTGCCTGGAAGAGTCCTCTAGGCTTCCCACAAGCCCTAGCTGCACTGAGGGACCGACTGACTCTCACTCCTACGGACAGGTCTAGGCCTACCGAGAGCCACAGCCCACCTCCGCCTGCATTCTGTCCTGCAGGCCCGCTTCTCACGTTTTCTCTCCCAACCAAACTGACTCTTTCTTTCTACAATGGCGATTTCTCTTCTCTTTTTTTTATACATCCAATGTTCAGGCTCCATCCCACCTGCCTCAGGGGCTTTTCCACAGGGAAGAAGCCATCCCCAACACCATTTCCAGGAAAGAATGGCCACTGCACCTCTCTTTTCAGATCCAGCCAGGAGTTCCCCAGGGTGGAAGTATGCCCATGTCGCATGCCTGTACACAGTGCTGTTCAAGTTCTCTGCAGGGGGAGGGGTTGGTGTCTCTCCAGAAGGCCTCCTTTCTCAGTGATTAGGGAAGGAACATAGGAAGGGACAAGGTGTCCCGGTGATCTCCATAGACACCTAGGACTCAGGGCCAGGTCCTAGGTTTGCTACATCCACACGGCTGAGCTCAGGGAGATGTGAGAACCCACACCCTGATCATTGTAGAAAATGCCTTTAGAACAGAACTCTGGAGGCTTCTGGCCTATGGGAACCACCCTGGCACATCTTCAGGGTAAGGTGAACAGGCACAGAGTCTTCAGGTCTGGCTCATTTACTTCCTGGGAGGGTCTTGCTAGTTCCACACTGTCAGAACTCACATCCCAAACACTGGGGTGCACTTTGTACCTTTCAGTCTTCTGAAAGAACACCCCAGGCACCTCTCTTTCATTTTCACCTGTTTCCGAGAAAAAGTCTATTTCCCTTTCTGGCCCTAACAGCTCTTGACAGCTGTTCACACATGGGATGCCAGATGTGGGGCAGCCCAGTAAGCTCTTTTCATCCATGATCTCATTCCAACCTCATGACATCTCACCATGACAACTGTCACTTTCATGTCACCTTTGGGGAATCAGAAACTGTGAGAGAACATGTGCCTTTCCCAAAGTCACAGTTAACGTTGAAGCTGGGCCTGTCTGTGTGGGCCCAGGTCCTCAGACACATATCCTTAAAGCACACCTTGTTTATAACCATCACCAATTATCCACAGTTACCATGAGAAATCTGATTGCTTTCCCAAAGTACCTGACTATTTATTGGAATGAAAACACACGCCACTCACTCGCTTTTTCAGGCACAGCCATGTCCATTTTCCCATGTCCATTTTCCCATGTCCATTTTCCCATGTCCATTTTCCCATGTCCATTTTCTCAACGGAACTCCACACTCCTAGGGACTGGGAGTGTCAGGAACTTTTCAAGTTTTTATACAGACAGGAAAACTGAGGCTCAAAGAGGAAATGTGACTTGCCCAAGGTCACACAGCTAGAAACAGTGCAGTCGAAACTAGACCTCCTGAGAGACCCCGAGCTCTGCCCCTGTGCTCTGCTGCCTCTTCAATAAATAAGTGAGCAAAATAAATAAATAAAGGTTCCAAGGCAATCCCAAGGAGTCCTCCCAACTTCAGAAAGAGCTCTGGTACCAGACTGGCATCATGACCTTCTTGGCAGGCTGGCAAGGCTCATGGCTGGCTTTCCTGGGTCACACAGTCTGTTTTTGGAAAGCTTCTGGGCTCAGGGACCAGCAGCCCTGCCAGGGGATCAGCAGCCCTGCGGTGTCTCCTTACTCCAGTATCCTTACTCAGGGGCTACAAACTGCCTTTGTTTGAAGACAGGTCTCAAATGCAGTAGAGGGAAGCAGGGATCAGCCCTGGGCCCCAGTGACTAGTAGCCATCTTGGCACAAGGACCTAGACTCCTGCAAGATCTCTGAGACCTTGGCATGAGGCAGAAGCCACCTGTGGGCAGATGGGTTCCACAGTCTACTTCCTGCCAGCCCAGAGGTAGGCAAGAACTAAAGTATCACCCCAGGGCCAACTTGGCTAACATTCAGCGTGAGGGATCTTCCTCACGATTCATTCTTTATTTTAGTCCCCTGAAGAAGTTGCTGGTCCACGGTCATGCAGCTGAACACAGAGATGCCAGCCCAGGCCCCTGTTCTCTGGGTCTGTAGTTAAAAATTAGCAGCAAATGCAGATATGTAAGTCCTAAGGCTGGGCCAGTGTCTATGCCCAAAGGCTACCTAAAGGGTAGTGTGCTAACACAGACAACCATAGTTTGTCTGGCCTGTCAGCACACTAGTGAGCAGCAAGGAGCAATGGCTTGGCCACCGCAGATAGCCCAGGGGACACAGATGTATTTGTCAAAAAGAGGGAGGTGTCTGCTGATGGATAGCAAAGGCACCCCACAGGAGGTGCAGATTCTGTGTCTCAGTCCCTTTTGCCCCACAGTTCTGAACTAGCTGGCTGATCATTCAGGGTGGTATGTACCTCAAGATCTACCAGTGACAAGTGCCCTGTCCAAGTTGGGGAGCGTCTCTACATGACAACATTAAACCTGGCTGCTGCTCTCTCCTTTCTTTCTTGGGCCCTCCCTGTACCCTGCAAGAGGCTAGCCTCTCCCCCTCCTCCATAGATATCCAGGCTACTCAGACATCAGCCTGGCAACCTTACCACATCCAGATAACCCTGAAGTTCCTCTCAAACACAGGTCCTTCCGGTCCAGGACCCAGGCCTGAGGAGTAGTACGGCCTCTGTCTAACCCTCCAGCCTGGCTGGAATCTTCAGGGCCCCTCTCAGGGAACCAAACACAACCTCCCACATACTGGACACTAGCCCAGCAAGATGGCCTTTTCCTGTCCTGTGGGGCCTGGCTAGCCGGCCACAGTGGATCTGTAGAAAAAGGCCCACACATTTCTTTGGCTCCTGGGCCCTCCTGGTGCAGACAGAAGAGCAGGCATGCTGGAATACGAAGAACCCTTAGCCTGGGTCATTCCTCTACCTGCAGGCTGGAGATCAGCGGCAGGGTGGCCAGCTTAGAGTCAAAGCTAGCCAGGAGGCCACCAGGGGCTGCCCCATAGTCCTGAGGGGCAAGTTCATGAGCAAAATTCCAAGTCTCTGTGCCTAGGTCTCCACAGCTAACCACACCCAGGAGTGACCACCCTTCAGTCAGCTGACTCCATTGCCTACTTAGGGGCCCTGCTGGTGCCGGGGTCATCCCTTGGGACTCCTGTTTCAAATAACCCTTGGCCAGAGCTGGTGGAGGCCAAGCTAACTCAGCCTGTAGGCATACCCCAAGTTTAGGGTCAGAGTCATCTGCCAAGGGAATCTCTTTGTCCAAGTGTCCGGCTGGGTCTGCTGCCTCTTCCTTCCATCTGGCTTGTTTCTGGTAGCCCTGGGACGTCACCACGACTTGGGCTTTCTCCTCCGGGACTCCAGGTTCTAGGAGATGGACATGGCCCAAGGCAGAGCCACTCTGTGTGTCCTCAGCCTGCTCCGGAGAGCTCTGGACTAAGTGAACGTCGCTGTCATCCTGGCCCTCACTGGTGTATCCAAGCTGCTGCTTCCACCCGGGCCCCATGCTGGAATGTAAGCTGGGTTCCTGCAGGCAGATGCCGCTGTCTGTGTTGTCGGCACAGCTGTCCCGTAGCTCAGGAGGCTCTTCCTTTCCCAGAGTCCCTTGTCCCTGGGGGAGGGAGCCAGGGAGGAGAAACTGGGACTCCTCAGTCTGCAGTGATGGCTTGCCGCTGCCGAAGCCGCTGTCGGTGCTGCCGTGCAGGTCCGAGTCTTTCAGCTCTGGCGACACCTTCCGGAAGGCCTCCAAGTCCAGGATGTGAACAGTGTTGAGAGTTTCTGGGCAGAGAGGGTGGACCGGGAAGAAGTTGTGGGACTTCTCAAGGACCTAGGAGGAGAGAGAGGTAGGGTGAGTGCGATGACTGTCGTGATCAATGTGACCATATTGAGAACCACCATGTGGTTTCATAAAGTATGTCTATAAGAAGGATGTTTTGAGAAAGGTTAAACGGAGCTTGGGAGACTTACCCTGAATATGACACTATCCCATGGGCTGGAGTCCTGGGATGAATAAAGACAAGAATGTGAGCTGAGCACCAGCCTTGACCTCTCTGTGGCCCGACTGTAGCGATGCGACCAGCTGCCGCATGTTCCTTCTGCGGAGCTTTCCCTGCCATGGTGGCCTTGCACCCTTGAACCGTGAGCCACAACAAAATCTGCCCTTCCT